AGCTATAAGGAACTCAAATATAAAGCCAACTAGGGGTTAAGAATATTAGGTAGAAAATTGGATACAAAACCAAGATTGTATCATGGAGGTACATAGATGAACATTCCTCAAGATCAAGGCACAGTAACCTATGTTGAATGTAAAGAAATGTTCAAGTAAATTCATCCTTAAAATGCCCAATACATATAGCAGGATGGAGGAATTGCTGACCATGTCAACGTGATTTCAGAAGAAGGTTAAACCAGACAGAAGCAAGATTGTATTTGAAAAGAGAATTAGCTGTGTAACACTTGACAAACTGATCACACAACTTAAAAGACAAGAAATGCAAATCTATAGGATAAGCACTGGATTTAACAGCATTTAGCAACACACAAAATCAAGGATGAAGAGGATAATATTTAAAAATTTGCAATGTGAATAACTTGACCATGAAGAACAGAAGAGTTGTGGGATGACATTGAAAATATCATACAAGAATAAAATAAAAGATCATTAAAAAGGCAAGAAAGAAGAAACAGACCAAAATGGATGTCATAAGGGATTCTAAAAGTTGCTCTACAATGAAGAGATGCTAAAGCAAATGGAAGAAATAAGAAGTTAAAAGAGCTGAAGAGAAAATTTAAAAGGTCAGCTTGAGAAGACAAAGTCAAATATCATAATGAAATGTACAAAGACCTGGAGTTAGAAAACCAAACGGAAGAACACAGTCAGCATTTGTGAAGCTGGGGTAACTGAGGAAAAAGATAAGCCTGGACTTTCAGTGTTGAAGGATTCTATGGGGAAAATTTTAATGATACAATAGCAACAAAAGAAGAAAGAAGAAATACTCAAAGTTACTTGAGTACTAAGAAGAAATGGTTGATTTTCAACTGTTTCAAGAGCTAGCATATGAACAAGAGCCAATGACACTAAAGGAAAAAGTCCAAGGTGTATTAAAGGCATTGGAAAAGAAAAAGGCTCTGGGAATTGATTGAGTGCATATTGAAATATTTAAACAAACTGATGCAGCATTGGAGGCACTCACTCATCTATGCCAAGAAATAACTGATTGGAAGAGATCCATATGAGTGCACATTCAAAAGAGAGGTGACCCAAAGAAATGCAGAAATCATAGGACAATATCAATATCACAAACAAATAAAATTTGCTAAAGAGAATTTAAAAATGACTGCAACAGCACATTGAAAGACCAGTCAGAGGTTCAAGCTGGAGTCAGAGAGGGATATTATTCCTTTTGTCAGATGGATCATAGAAATGCTTTTGATTTTTAATAGCCTCATGTGCATGTGGAGTCCTGGTGTGGGTTAATGTGCTGTACTGCAAAGTTGATTTGGACTGCAAGGTAGGCAGTTCAAGCTCACCAGCCTCTCCTCGGAAACCCTATACAGGGTCACTGTGGGTTGGAACTGATTCAATGACACTTAACAACAACATGTTCATTTGAAAGTTGGACAATGAATAAGAAAGACCTTAGAGGAATTGAAGTATTTGAATTATAGTGTTGGAGAAGAATCTTTAAAAATATCATTATCGTGGACTTCCAAAAGAACAATCAAATTTGTATTGGAAGAAATACAACCAGAATGCTCCTTAGAAGCCAAACTGTCCAGATTTCATCTCTCATATTTCAGACATGTTACCAGGAGGGACCAGTCCTTTAAGAAGGACATTATGATTAGTAAAGTAGATGGTCAGAGAAAAAATGGTAGACACCCAATGAAATAAATTGTTACGGTGGCAGTAGCAATGGGCTTAAGAGGAACAACCATTGAGAGCTTGGTGCAGGACCGGGTAGTGTTTTGTTCTATTGGGCATAAGGTCACTGTGAGTCTGAACTGACTCATCATTGCTGTTGTTGTTGTTATGTGCCGTGGCATCAGTTCCAACTCATAGCAACCCTGTACACGTTTTCTAAGGCTGTAAATCTTTACGGGAGCAGAAAGCCTCATCTTTCTCCCATGGAACAGCTGGTAGTTTCGAACTGCTGACTTTGAGGTTCACAGTTTGATTTGTAACCACTACACTACCAGATCTCCTTTTACCTAACAATAACAATGCAAGATAGTAGACTGATGGTCATATTATCAGTTTTTTTTAAAAAAATTCCCAAGTAGGGAAGGAAGACAGATTAAAACGCTGAGAACTAGAGTTCTTAGGGAAGTTGGTATACAAGGTCATAATGAAGAATTTGCTTTAAGTAAATAATACAGCTAATGTGTGTGGTTTTAGCTTCTCTAATGTTGCTGAAATGGAGCCCTAGTGGCACTGTGAATTCATCATTTGGTTGTTACCTGCAAGGTCAGTCCCTAAACTGAGCCCCTCAGCTGAGACTGCCTATTCCCATAAAAATTTAATCTCAGAAACCTTATATAGGTTAGCTATGAGTAGGAATTTACTTGATGACATTGGGTTTGGTTTGTTTTTTTAATGAGATTCAGACAAGCTATATTTAATGTACAGTTGCTAAGTGTCATCAAATTGGTTTTGACTCATTGTCACCCTGTTTAGGGTTTCCAAGGCACAGCTAGTGGGTTTTAACTGTTGACCTTGAGGTTAGCAGTCCAGTGCTTATTCTACAGTGCCTCACCAGGACTCCTAAATTAAGACACTACTAGAATTTAAATTTATACCCATACCTCTGGTTAATGTAACTGACTAAACTTTCCAATAGTGGTGATCTTGTTGCTTTATATAAGAAGGAAATGGATACTCCTTCACACACATAATCCACAGAAACTGTCTAGGAAGTCCTCACACTAAAACCATAATCACTATCCTATGTCTACACACTAGTTTAACAGACAGTACGTGTGGTTATAATTAACTTTGGGGTTATATTTAATTAGGAAAGAGATGTCTATATTCATTTAACATGCTTTAAAATTAACTGCAAAATAATTATTTTGCATGTATACATTCCCTTTGAACATCTAAGCAAAAATGATGAGTTAATGATTTAATTTTTTTTCTTTAATTTAGAAATAATTCTTGAGTAATTACTATGTACCAGACCTTGGATAAAAGCTGAGTAAGCACCGTCATTGATCCAGAGAAACTCCCCAGTTCCCACAAATATGATTGTTCTGCAGTTTCCAAAGGCAGAAACATGTCCTAGAACAAATGACAAACTCACTCATCCTACACAACCCATTTGAAAAACTATTCTTTAAAATCACTCTAGGATGAATGTGTTCCTATGTATATGCAAAATATGTTTGTGTTTATACACACTCAAAGTGGCTTCGACTGTGAGATATTGAGAATCTTGTCCCAGATAATTCAAGTTTAGATAAGCAACTGTCAGATTGGAGTTTAACTTTGCCCTTTGGGATGAGAAGGAATTGGAGTCATGACAAGAAGTAAAGTAGGCAATTCATTTGATTAAAACTAGTAAGCAAAACAAAGGGTGGAATATTCTATTGGTATCAGATAAGCAAAAATGTAAGTAACAAATAGAAACAATAATTTATGAAACAGGTAGAAAAGGTCCAATTACACAATTACTTTCTGATTTCCATTTTTTGGAAAATGCTTTAGGGCAGAAAGTTGGATATTAAAATAAATGTGAACAAAAACATTTCTAATTCCAGGACTTCCTTACGTTACTCAGTTTTTATAGTGATAAGGATAATTTTAGCTACTTAATACAAAGGTAAGTTTTATGCTGCTTTTTCTTTCTAGAAGGATGAGCAAAACAGAAGCTCAGCAGGGTCTCTCATTTCTCACTCCCAGCTGAGTTGGCAAAGGTTAGCCTACTATTGAAATTCAAGTTTTTGCAAATGTGCTTCATTGGTACTCAACTCACTAAAGTTATATCAGTTTTTAACAATTATTTCCAGAGAACATCTACACGTTTATGAAATATTTTTTCTGCCTCACATGGGAAAACAATCCAATATTTCCAGGGTGGATTAAACATGAATTGTTTAATGACAATACACTCCATAAGAAGCCATAGAGAAGACAGTTTGTAATACTGTCCCTATGGTAACTTTGAATAATAAAAACATTAAATAGACAAAATCAAATAAAAAAGCGATTCTTTTCACTATTTGGGTGGACTTTGTGAAAATAGTAGTAATATTCAGGCCATGTACGCATATCCGATAAAATCAATTATAATAATTAAATTTTTGTTTGCTTCATCTATATGTATTCACCTATTCATGTGCTTCTGGAAGCAGAAAAGAGAAGTTTCTCTAGTGGTTGGTATAGCATTGTGATTCCTAGTGGCTTTGAAGTTAGACGTGTTTCTCAATGACTGTTCTATGAGATGAAGAACTTACAAAACTTTTTCAAGTTTTCATATTCTCATTTTAAATTGGTGATAACAATTCCTATCTCATAAGGTTGGAGCGTAGTGGTTACGAATCGGGCTGCGAACGTTAAGGTCAGCGGTTTGAAACTATCAGCCGCTCCGCGGGAGAAAGATGAGGCTTTCTACTCCCGTAAAGATTTACACCCTCGGAAACCCTGTACAGGGTCACTATGGGTTGGAACTGACTCGATGGCACTTAACAACAACAGCAAGGTTGTTGCCAGGATTAAATGATACTGCATATTCAAAGTGTGTTCCACATAAGTAAATAATCAATAAAACATATGTAAACTATTGGGAGTGGGTGCACTGACAGCAATTGGAAGAACTTCACTGGACACCATCCAAACACTCAAGCTGAAAACCCTCCTGGTCAAGCCTGCTGAAGAAGGGGGGCATCACTGCACCATGAACTATGTCTTTGAAGGCAAATCAGACCTTATTTCTAAGAAGAGGAGAGAAGCTGAGTGGCTTCTATAAACCAGAATGATTAAACTGCAATTAAGAACACTTACATGTGTTTAATTACAATTACAGCCTAAGTTAATGAGTTATTTTCATGACAATACATGCACAAGAATGGGGAGAGTCTCTGATACTGCATGACACCCAGTGTAGGGAGGGTATATAAATATCGCCAGGAGAAGGCAGAGGCATCACAGTACTGTCTCACTGTAATTCATCTGAACTCACATCTCCTGTCAACATGTCCTACAGCTGCTGCTCTAGAAATGTCTCCTCCCAATCTCTGGGTGGCTGCCTAAGCTACCCAGTTCTTTTTTGCGGTTCTTCTACCCCCAGCAATCTGGTCTACAATGCTAACCTATTTTCCCCAGGTGCCTGTCAGCTGGGATCCTCTCTCTACAGAGGCTATCAGGAGAACTGCTATAAGCCCAGCAGCTGCCAGAATGCCTGTGTAGTGTCCAAACCCTGCCAGACCGCCTGCTACCGTCCTAGGACCCCTACAGTCTTCAGTCCTTGCCAGATAACTTATGCTGTGTCTCCAAGCTTTGGATCCAGAAGCAGTTGCTCCCTAAGCTATGGATCAAGAAGCTGCTACTCACAAGGCTGTGTGTCCAGTGGCTCCAGACCCCTGGGTTACGGAATCCAGGTCTTCCCTGGATCGAGTTCCTGCTATCCAACATATTTTCCTTCAAGAAGCTGCCAATATTCTTGTTTCCGACCAAGCTATGCATCTGGTTTCTGTAGAACAACTTGTTAAAATTTGAAGACTTCAACATCACTATCATCTGTCTCAATTACAGCTATTAATTGGCTAGAATCTATAGTCTACAACCTAGAAGAGTGATAATTAAAGAAAAATCCTTTCCGTTTTAAAAGCGTTTGTCTCATAATGTACCCATTCTCTCTTTCTTCTGAATTCCCTTATCTAGGGATCAAGAGGTCATTTTTTCCCTTCAAATAAACCTATTTAGTCTGATATCAGATTATATGCTTTGTGTTATTTATATTTACTTTTCAAAAGGTGTTTGTTGGGAATTCTAAACTACTGTTCTAAGATGACTGGGTGGTACAATTGTTTGCACTTAACTGTAACTAAAGTCGTTGACTCATTCATCACCATGGAAGAAACTAGCTTGACAATCCGCTTCCATTAAGCCTGGTAATGGTGGTGGCAGTGGTGGCTGTGTGCCATCGAGTTGTTTCCAACTCACAGCAACCCTCTATAGGGTTTCTGAGGTTGTACATTTTTGCCAGAATAGAAAGTTTCATCTTTCTCCCTTGCAGCTGCTAGTGGGCTTGAGTCTTGTAGCTCAGTTCAGTGCTTATCTTATGGATCCACCATGTATCCTATATATAAGAAATAATATATATACACATATATGTTGTTGTTAAGTGCCATCGAATCAAGTCCAACCCATAACAACCCTGTATAGGGTTTCTAAGGAGCAGCTGGTGAGCTTGAACCACTGACCTTGCAGTTCAAATGACTTTGCAGTCTGGCACATTA